ACAGTGTATTTACATATGGCTCAGACATGAAATTGATCATAAATACCCAATCACAGAAATCTTGAACTTGAGAAGATCATGAATAATAAAGAAAGTGTTCCACATTTGTATTTTTTGGGGAATGGAAATTCATCATTCCTTTTTTTCTTTCTAGTTATAACAGAAGTCAGAACTTCACTTGATCTAGAAGTTATAATACAAGTTTTCAAACTTTCTGTTTGTATATCAAGTATTGAGACTTGATATAGAAATTAGAATGAAGTTGAGGGAGCTACTGAGAACTGTGTCAGTCATTTAAGATATCAAATTTATTTTTCTGTGAGAAAAATTGCTGCAACATTGAGTATATTGTATAGAAATAGACAGTAGTTTTTTTCAGTTAGTGAAATACAATACCATAAAAGAGAGCCAACATAGATTAACCAAAATAAGATATTGTCTTCCATTATCTTTCCTTGAGGATTGTTACTTGTTTAGGGTACCAGCTTTCCAGAGTGAAAAACTGGGACATTTTTTTCTCATATAGAGTTACCCTGTAACAGCTCTGAAACAGTTTAAATTACAATAATACATTTTTTACCATTTGCTGAATAATCTCATGTTTATTCTATTGCATTTTAAATCCACAGATAAACAAGATTTGTTAAAAGTCTATCTAGTTAAAAAAATAAAAAATGTGATGAAGTTGCCTTTAACATAATCAGAGAAAAATGTTGCTTCTTAGTTTTTTTTTGTTTGCAGCTAGGCAGATGTTGAAATTTCAGTTGCTGCAACTGCCCAATGATGGGTTAGGCTCAAAAAATAGAAAGGGAGGGAACACTATAGTGTGTAATCTATCTTTATCAAGTATTTAAAGAAGCCATGTATAATGACAAACATATATATGTATTAAAACTTGCATAGAGGTACAGATAATCTTGGGCAGTTTAACAATTTTACTGTTTCTGATCAGAACAAAAACTAAGTTTAGAGATTAGGACAATCCCAGTTTCATTTGGATATATTCAAAAACACCTTAAATGTGAAAAAAAAGGATTGAGTGTTTGACTTAAAGGAGTGAAATCAAAATTGGAGGCCAAACTGGTAGCTACACTTATAGTAATGATAAGAATTTTATAGCAAATATTCTTTTCTTAGTTAGCTAGGCTGCATATTTTGTTTTACCCACCATCATGCCCCAAGCTTACAAGATTATTTAGAGTAATTGATAGGATAAAGGCCTTTGGTTCCTTTGTGTGAATAGAAGACAAGTTTAAGATTGGAAAAAACCATCAAGGCTCCAGTTAACTCAGTTTTATTTTTCTAACAGGGTGATTGGCTTAAAGAATGAGTCGCTTTCATTAGTAAGTAGACCCAGCACTTGACAAGAATCAGTGATTTCCTGAAAATATAAAGAGTGGGTTTAAATTTTTACTTCTCTCAAGGGAAGGTATATAATGACAGCATTGAAGGACCAAATGCTGCCACGTTTCTTGTATTATGTTAATTTAAAATTAGTATCTATGACAGGGTTGTCCCATTGAAAAGCATATCATAGTCAGTTGACTATAAATACCTCAGCCAGTGTGGTAAAACTGAAGTTTTGATTTGATCAGGTAATTGAAAAGAAATATAAGAAGCAAGATCAACAGCATGAATTTTAGACTATGTAAGGCTATTGCCATACTTATTTTGCTTTAAGTTAGTGATGCTATTTAGTGATAATTTTCAAGCATGTTTTGTAAAACCTGGAAGTGATATAGTGGTAGCTTTGGACTGGCTCGGAATAATATATTAGTTAGTAGTGCAAAGGTACACAAGTTTAAGATATGTAAAATAAAGACATGGCTCCAGTTTAGACAGTTACTTTTGTAATGCTAACAGAGTAGTCAACCTGCAGAATATTTTGTTTTTATAGTTTGTAGAAGCTGCAACAATCAAGGTCTTTAAAAGTTTAATAAAATATTGGATGATTATTTTAGAGATCATTATTAGATATAAAAAAATTGCAGCTGAGTTTCATGTTTAGGAAGTTTTTAAGAATCTTACACTTTTCACCTTTTTTAACTTAACAAATGATCATGATAAAAATAAGTTTACATTGTTTCATGTTTCAGAAAATAATATCTAATGTGTTTTAAAGATGTTATTATTAAAACTTAATACATGAAAATCTTAACTGTATTTTAGCACCCCATCTAAGGCTTTGCAATTGTTTCTAAACTACATATCTAAAGCTTTAAATTAAATTCAGTGTGTTGTGTATTTTAAGTTCAGACATAGAATGTCAAAGATTCAGATATGTGTACAAAACAAATTACATCCAAACATCAGTCCATTAACAGCAGCCATGGAGTAATGGTAATTCCTGTTTAGATTTTTATTTGAATATAAAGATCTGATACTGACATCTTTTAGGGAGATACTGTAGATATTCATTGAAATATGAAATGTATGTTTTTGTGAATTTAGAGAAATTATTACTTTTATAGTTACAGCAAAGAAATAATGTTTTATAGTAGAGTTATCAGTGTGTGAACAAAAAATGTAAAAAACTTATTTTAAATTAAGCAACCCAAAGTGTAGATGATATGCAAATACTTATTTTTTCATGTACAAGTTACTGCTACAAGGTTTTTAGTCTAAGGAACATAAAACATAAATTTGTTCACTATTTTAGGTCTGGTAAGCAAATCAAATAGATCTACTATATGATTAAAAGGAATCCTTGAAGGAATATTCATATACATGTCCAAAAAGACCCAGGAACTTCAGGCTTTGATGTCATGTGATAAGGAGTAAGTACTGATTTGTATAGTGGTGCAGTTACATACAGAATACCTCCTTAGACTTGAACCCGTGATATGTGTCACTAAATGCTTAATATTCTGTCAGAGTGAATTGGATATAAACTTATCAGAAATTTGTTTTATTTCAAGTAACATACAATCTATGTTCATATATAAATCTTAGAGCAGTTTTGCACATAAAAGTACAATAAAATATATTTTGTTTCTATAAACTTAATTCAACTTCAGGAAGAAAACATAATTTTCTTACAAGTAGAAAAAGGTGCAGTTAGCCATGGCTGCATGAGGGATTTTTTTTTTATATTGAACCAAACTGTTAGATACACTTCTATTATATATCTCACTAACAAACTAAGCTTCTTGGATGGGTTAGCAGTTGCGACATGAAAGCTGCAAAATCCTGTTTGCTGTTATTAACCAGCGAGAATGGTTCATTATTCCAGGGTCACGTAAAGCAAGTTCTCTTGAACAATGACCTGACACTACCACATTGCACATGTCATGCAGATATTTTTGATCTGTACTGAGATCCTCAGGATGGTCAGTTTTCAGTAATGGCTCTGTAATTTTGACTGAAACAAAGTTTACTGAAGGCAGTGATTCATTAGTCTTCAGTTTCTTTCCAAGAGTACCAGGAAAAGCGGAAAATCCTAGAGTTACTCTGTCAAGATGCATAATTAAATGATGCAGGGATAACTCATTGGTATGTAACAAACAAATTAATCAATGAGCAAGTCTTCATAAGTGCATTTCAAGAAGCCTCATAACTCCAGTTTTTTTCCAGTATTGATGTATGTGCCGTCACAGTCTACAGCGACTGAATGATCAGATGAAATTTTGTTATCTTCAAACCACTGAATGATAGAATTTTTTATACCTTCTGATGTTCTGGAAGAATGAGAAAATTGATTCAGGTTCACTGATCAAAGTTATGTGCTATTCCATGACTACATGTTCATAATGTTTTTGTCCATTTTTAATCACAATTTTAGTTATATCTTTTCTGTTGTCAAAATAGAAAAATATAATACAATTTGATTCATCAGAAGTCAGTAATGTTTCTTGTTATTTTTCTCGTTTGTGTTCTATCTTGTTTTTATTGACAATTTTAACATTGTCATTTTCTTGAATAATGCCCATATCTTCCAAAACAGCTGAGGTAAGGGCTGCAGCAGCTCTACCTGAAATACAGTACCTGTCAGTTTCTCTCTCTACCATTGGAAGTGGTGTCCTCATTTGTTTGTTTATTTTAGGATTTCGATGTAGAAAGTGCAGTATTAGCAAAATAATCCAAACAAGTCATTGATTAAATATTTTGTTTAGTGGAGAGATGATACACTTTTTTTTCAAACTTTGGTTTACTTGCAGCAGTTGAAGATATAATTGGAGGAGTTTCATACTGCATAAGATTAATTCTTATAATAAAAGGCAACTATTGCACACCCTGCTGATTAGCAATTACAAAATGAAATTGTCGACTAAGTAAATTCGATGCACCATAAGTAGTTAAATGGAAATTGTACTGTAAATGTTTTATTTAAGGTATTCATAAAAATATTGAAACACAAGAAAAAATTACGTTTATAATTCTGTTTGCTTTAGGTTTTTGGAGTTGATTCCTTGATTAATGGTCTGTTTAATGTGATGAGCTGGTTGCAATATCAGGCATATTTGCTGACACCATTAAAACTGTTTGATTACAGGAACAATGAGAATAATGTTTTAGTTAACATGATATTATGTATTACATGAACAGTTGAAAAAAGGATAAAGTTTTTCTCTGTGAATTAAATGAAATTACTTTTGGTATAAGACATGGAAACAGATGCAGATTTAATTTTTATTGAATACAGTACTTGGGGTTATAATTTCTGGAAATGTATACAGAGCCAGGGTTCTTTTGTAAAATTTGGAATAAGAAATGAATGACTATTTTTTTTATAGAGATTAAGTTAAAGTTGCATTTTTTCATTGTTCAATGATGACTGTCATTTGCTTTTTAAATTCAGTGTAGGGAGAAAGCTAATGGAATTTTATTTCAGTTTTTATAACTATATATATATAATTCTTGTATGGTGATGATAATAAGACACTGTTTTCATTATACTGTATTAAGAGTTTAACTAAGTGTTTGTTGTTGTTGCTTTTTGTATTCCAAGTAAACTGAAACTGTTATTGGAACATGGCCTAGAACCAAATAAAATAGTTTCTGATGCTGATGGCTGTACACTACTGCATTTAGCAGTGGGGCTAGAAGATACTCCTAGTAATGAGGCTGTTGTTGCCCTTTTGTTGCAACATGGGGCAAATCCAAATATCAGGTATCATGTTTTGCTTTTTTTACACTACATAATAATTAAGTTTTTTGGTGAAGTACTGTGTATTAGAAATAAATATAATCTTACTTCTTTAAGTCTTTAACTTTTTTACACTGTTACAATAGCATTTCAAGCTCATGGTTGATTTTTAAGGTATCTGAATTAGTGAAAGTTGTATATTCTAATAATAGGACTTGAATTTAACATTTGTTTTGTGTTAGCCAGTTGGGCTAGTAGAATTAAAAACACTACTAGCCCTCTGGGATTTCTGCTAGCTTATTTAAAAAAATTAGCCACTATTGTAATGATATAATCAGTTTCTAGAAGAGGTTAGTTAATTGTAAAATATACTGCTGCGTGCTGCAACTAGAAAGACAAATGTATAACACTTATCATTTATTGATCCTTGTTTTAATTCTTACAAAATAAAATTGTCAGAGACAATAAACTGCAACACTCTGGAAATGGAAAAAAAAAACTGCTGAGAATCATATGTCTTAAAACTTGACCCCATATTCAACTTGGAACAGAAATAGTTAAACAACTAACAGTTCACCACAGCACCACCCTATCTATGATCTACCTAAAATTCACAAGTAAGACTACCCTCTCTGTTTCATGGATAAATGAAGAGATTCACCATGTCATCCTTTAGGTTTATATATCATGTAGATATAATAACACCATTAACAGGTAAAACATACTCTTATGAGTTCACTTTGTAAAGATTATAAAAATAATCATGATAACCTCACAATACACAATGATTACCTTTGATGTCTCCAACCTGTTTACTAATGTATTACCCCCTTGGAACATTACAGATACTCTGACAATGGCTTAAACTGGTAGAACTCTCAAATAATGTACCAACTGACAATCTTCACAATAAGTGTCTCTGTATGGAACATTTTGAAAATAACAACCATTCTGAGTTGCAGCATTTGGTTCACATATGTTGGCAATATATTCATAATATGGCCACTACCACAGTGAAGATAACAAGAATTCATGAATCATTTGAAAAAATAATAATTCAAAATATATATCACAATATAAATAAAAGAAGATAAACTCAAATTCCTAGATATGATGATTACCAAGACATTTACCATAGATGTTTACAGGAAACTTTCCTAACAGTGTACAGATGGGTATCATAGTCTGCCTAGTTTATAGATTGAATAAGACTGGTAATACTGAAGATGCTAAGAAGAAAGAAGAAATATACATCACTATAACTCATCTTGACAGTAGATACTCAGAACACTTGATAAAAAAGTAAAATTTAGGAGCTGTTAGTTAATTTCACATGCTGCATAATACACTTATAGATACAAAACTGCATATTTTCTTAGTGGATAATTTGCTTTCTTCATCATATATCAAGCTCTTCAGATCTAACTATGTTATTCACTAGTAAAGGAGAAAATTGTGTTCACAGTGTACCCCTGTATCCTAGTGCTATTTGTACCAATGTAGTTTCAGCTTATAAAAGAATGTGCTCAAATAAAGGCTTACTGTTGCAAAGTAGGAGTTGAATTTATGAATGTTCAATATTTTTTATTTAACAGTAATATTAACATGATTAGTGTTCAGTTTTTTTTTAATAAACTTGTTTTTACGTTCATATAGGCCCCACAGTGGCACAGCGGTATGTCTGCGGACTTGTAACACTAGAATCCGGGTTTCGATACCCGTGGTGGGCAGAACACAGATAACCCATTGTGTAGCTTTGTGCTTAATTACCAACAAACGTTCATATAGTTTTTCAGTAGAGAAAATTTGTATATATAAATGATGGAAAACTTAGTTCAGATTAGCACAACATATCTGAAATTAAATGTATAACTAATGTATAAACTAAAATACAGCACAATAGATTCTGAATAGTCTATGAATCTGTGAGATGAGTTTCTTAGTAGTTTGTTTTGTACATGTATACAATTAATCATTTCAGGTCCATTGATGGTCTTACCCCTGTACACATCAGTGTTTTATGGGGGAATGTTTTATCTTTGAAATTGTTATTATCATTTGGAGGAAATCCATGGCTGAAAGACAGTGGTGAGAAAGATGCATTTCAGATGGCTTTAGAAACACAAGAATCAAAGTGTATTCAAGTCTTAGAAGAGTTTGTAAGAAGTCATAACTTCAGCACTAGAATCTCTCTGGGATCAGATGTGTCACAAAGATCATCCTTTTGTAGCTCAACAGGCATTCAGTTGCATGAAGCTGGAGATGCATGTGCCTCATTTGCTGTTTTCTCCTCTTCAGTGTTGTCTTCTGAATATCTTACCTGCTCTCCACCTCAAGAAAAAAAACACAGTATGTGGAATGAGAATGCAAATGAAAATATATGCAAAAAACTAAAAGATTTGTTCCTAACTGAAAGTTCTAATGTTAGTTGTACAAGAAAAGAAAACTGTCTTCTTGCTGTTGAACAACCTAAGCAAAGTAGTTTCTTTCCTTGTATTTTTGACCTTGGTGGTGGTGGAGACACAATAGAAACTAAAAGATTAAATTGTGAAATAAAAGAGGATATTATGATCTCAGCTAATGATATAAAACTATTAGGAACTCAGCAAGATAGAAATTCATCTTCTTATAATGCAAGTATCTCTTCTTTTAGCTCCCAGAGCACATCAAGTCCAGTGAGGATATTATCTCTGTCACCACAGGTCCATGATATTGGATTTTGTAGTCCAGGGTCTCCTACAGGCAATCGTTTAGATGGTATACATTATCTTAGTCCTCGTGAAAATGCAGCTGTAGTGTTACGAAACAACTCCAGGCTATCAGCTTCCCTTGGGAAACCATCTTGTCATTGGAATTCTGGTAGTTCTGGTGATGAAGGAGTTCAAGAATATTTGTATACAGATGAAGAGGAAGGAATTGCTCTGATTGAACGACATTATCCATGTAGCAACCCTAGTAGTTTCACAAATTCTTCATCATCAAGTGACACTGTAATATATGATTGGAAATTATTCCAAACTGGTAGTGACTCAAGCTCATCCTCCTCATCAACAAGATCTCTTCTTTCTATTAATGTTCCACTAGACCTTCAAAAACTTAATAACAGTGAAATAAGAAAGCAACTTCTTGATCTTGGAGACAATCCTGGTCCAGTTCAGGACAGTACTAGACAAGTCTACCTACACAGGTTGACAAGACTCAAGTCAGGTGTTGTCCAAGTCAGCAGTCCCCTCTTACCAAGTAAGTTTTGTTCATTGCCTTCTTACTTATATGTATATATACACACACACATACACAATAGTGAGTTTTGCAAAAAAGAATAGGAAGATGGTAGAATACTCAAGAAAAAATAAGTGAAGTAATATCACCAAAGTAAACAAACCTATATGTATAAATTTGGAGGAACTGCTCTTGTCAACAAAAATGGATATGTGTGATAAAATTAAATTTAAAACTAGATAAATTAGTTAAATTCCTAAAGAAATAATAAAGTGTAAAATACTAATATTTTAATTCTGTTGACGTACAACATTTCAGGCAGGTATCCTTCACTAATCAGTATTCAGAATAAAGTTAGAATGATTGTGTTAAATTTTTAAACCAATAAAACAATCAGAGCCTATGAGGTAATACAGCTGTAGTGTTACAAACCAATTCCAGCTTATCAGCTTTCCCTAGGAAATCATTTATGAGCCTGGTGTTCTTTATCCAACCTTGTTTAAACCTGTCGGTGTAACCTGCTGTATCAATAGACTTAAACAGGGCTTGACAAAGAGCAGTTGTTTGAAATATAGCCCAGTAAGAATTTTTTTGTTTTTACTCTGTGTGATATTAATCTGCTTATTTTTTCTTCTACATACAATAATAACATACATGTAAAAAAAAAATACATCATACTTGCAAACACAGTACTAATAAATTGTACATAAGGAACATTTCAAAAGTCTAGCTATGTTATTGATTTGTTGGTGAATAATACAAATGAGTGATTTAGTTAAAATTATGAAATGTTTCTTTTGTATAATTCATTGGTACTAAGTTTGTAAGTGTGATGTCTTTTTTTTGTATGAAATACTAATGTAGTACAGAACATATGCTTATTCCTGCAAAATAATGACTGATATTGACAATTAGCCATCTGAAAATATTGCTAAAGCTTTATACTATCCCTGATGAAACATTGCTTCAAAATGAATTTTTGATATACTTGTATTAAAAAAAAAAACAACTACCATATTGACCTGATTATAGGGCAATCTCAAATATAAGGTGACCCCCATTTTCAGAAACAGGGGGAAAGAAAAAAATTGAGTGTCATAATATCCTTTTTTTAAGTCCGCAAAATGTTTTTCTTGTAGAATGTGCATTAAGGAATTCAGACTTTTTGTTTCAGCCAACAGCTCACATTATTTTCAGTTACACCAAATTTTGTAGCAGTGGTACAATTGTTCATTTTTCTGCCTCATGCACCACCATAATTTTAAGATTTGCATCATAACTCTGTCGTAACCCTTTGTTAATTTGACACTACTTTCTTGTTCCCTGTCTTTCAATGTGGTCCCTCACTCTTGCAAAAGGGTCAATCACTAAAATGAGACTCACAGACAACAATTATTATAAAATTTATAATAAGAATAGTGAAAACAATAATGCACCAGCAAAATCAGTACTATAACTGAACACCTACAGGTGGATTAGATGCAAGAATTAACAATGACCTTGAGCGAACATCTGGCGTGCATGCATAGACATATGCAACCTGGACATTCAGGAATGCAGCTGCCTAGAGTAATGGGAAGGGGCCTGTGGTCAGCCTCATTTATAAGGCAGCTATGAATTTTACAGCCTAATTATTAATAAAAAAAAACATTGCCGTATAATTGCCAATACAATACTTTTCTTGAATGTTGAACCAAAAAAAAGAACAAAGTTTGCTTTATAGTCCGAGATGAATGTATGCAAATTTATTAAAAGTTATGATCAATGAATACAGGTATGCACATGAGTCTACAAGAAACAAGACATTGTGTATGTAAATTTAATTTGTTTAGTTTATAAATTTTGTATAGAACAACAATTTTTTTCATCTAACACAAAACAGAAATGATTAAATCAAAATGGTACATTTAAGTGTTTTACACTCACAAAAAAAAAACTATCATTCTCTGGGTATTTGAAGAACTTGTAGCATTCTGCCACAATTTAATTCTTCGTACTGTTAGCCGACTCTATTCAGAAGTGATTAAACATTAAGTGGTTGATCTTTTTCAGGAGAGGCATTTGTTGTACGTGAAATGTAATCCTAGTATGCAAAATGTTAAAATAATCCATAATGCTAGTGTTCAGAATGTTTATTTTTAATAAACTCTGCACTTTTTCAAAAGGAATACTGTTTCATAAAAGCATGACTAGATCTATGAAAAATGATAAAGTTTTTTAAAAAAATTATGCAATAATAAGATTTATCTGTGAAAAATATTTTATCTGTAAATTTTTAATTACATCAGAAATATTCCATGCACTTAAACATCCCAATATATATATGAATTGTAAAAAATAATTTAAGTAATTATTTGTGCTAAAGAATAATAAGTAAATAAATAAACTAGTACAGTGGTTCTCAATCTGGTTGTTCGCAGGATCCCTTCAGGTTATCCATGGAAAGGTTGCACACTTACAGAAAAGAAGAAGCAGTGTAGTGTATAGCTCTCTTTGTGGTCCACCAAGAAAAAAAAGAAATTGGTGGTCCATGAACATTGTCTTCATTCATACCTTTATTTCTGGTATCTGTTTTAGATTACCCCCCAGAAATTTCACATGTTTTGGAAAGTAGATTGGACTTTGTTCAAGCTGCAGTTTTGGAGAAAGACATGTGCAATGATTTTGATAATCCTGGTCCTAAAACAAAATGGAGAGAAGGCACACAGAAAACTTCATTCAATTATCTTCTACTTGATCCCCGAGTAACCAGAAACCTCCCTGGACGAGCTTTACTGTTGAGTTTTAGTGAACAGTTTCAAGCGTTCATTAATGCAATCTTTTATGTTGGAAAAGGAACAAGAGCCAGACCTTACAGTCACTTATATGAAGCCATCAAGATACTAAATGATCCTGTAAATAAGGTGATAAAAATAGTTTTAACTTATGAACTTTACATTATATATATCTCAACACAAGTTCTGTTTGGTGTGGTGGATAGCCTTTCTTTGTAATTGTGTTTCAGACATGTCCATTTTCAGGTTGTTAATATGTCTGAGTTAACCGATGTTTCTAAGCTAGAATTTTAAGAAGTACCTGGTTTACTGTCATTGGTTAGTTAGTATGTATTGATTCATCTAATTATCGGTTTTGGGACTGACTTGCATTTTAGTACTACCGTATTTTTCAGATTATAAGACACACCAGTGTATAATACATACCCTTATTTTGAAGACAAAGTTTTAGGGAAAACTTTATTATACTAACTCCATTACTACAATTTATTTTTTTATTATTTAGAGAGCATTATAAATAGTTATGTTTTTAAAAGAAAAGAAAAACTACTATTGTTATAAATAACACATTCAATTGAACTAAACTATGCATGCCTATTCAAATATATTTACACATGGCTTGTGTATATCGTATATATACATATATATATTATTCATACCTTTGGTGTATAGGATGCAAGCAGATTTTGACATCAAATTTTGGGGTAAAAAAGTGCGTCTTATACACCGAAAAATACGGTATATTCTTTGACATTTTACTCTTTATTATTATTATTTGAAGTTAAATTATAGACTAGTTGTTCATGAATCTTTTGATGGGTCTGAAAGACCAAGTTTGAGTGCTTCTTGGTTTTAGGTGTACAAAAGAATTCAGGGTATTAACTATGCCACAAAAAGAGCATTGGTTAGATATTATCAAGGTATTTTTTTTTTAATTTTCTAGTGATGTCAGAGATCATAACATTCAATATTTAAAGAATTAGAATTACTTTGTGGAAATTCATAAAAAACTATAATAACAAACCTCAAGGAAGAATGATAAGCTTGTCCTGTCAAAAACTAGTCAGGTTTTATTAGCTATTTAATCATTTGTACATCATTATGATTTTGTGTTATTACTGTTTTGTCATAAAATTCATTACTTTTCCACATCTGCCATAAATATTTGAGGTTCAACTTCTTTCATACATAAGTAGCTCATTGTTGGAACAGGGTCAAACATTCAGTAAAAAAAAATAACAACATAAGGTTTATTCAAGTCTTTGAGATTAATTTCAACAAAACATAACTTTAAATGAGCTACACATCAATCAGATCAAAATTGTGTGGCAAATTATTAAAAGTCAATAGAACACAGCAAGGCAGCTAGAAGCAAGCATAAGCTAGTTCAGAGAGTGTAAAATTGCGACCAAAAAACTAACACACTGTTAGTATAGTAAGAATGTGAACTTATTTTGTGTATTTTTTAAATTTCTATGTAATTCTCTTTTAACAGTTTTGTGTTTAGCATTTTTCACAAGTTAAATTAAAAATTGGATCAGTTCACACAGAAATTTTGTACTTATATGTTTGTGTTTCCCATTGTTAATGAAAGGGTTCAAGTGTATTTATGTTAAATGTTACTTTTTGGCAGGTTGTGTTTGAAACATGTCCTGAGACTAAATGGAAATCTTGCTGACTAACCTGTTAACTTTTTTGAATATGTTACTTGGTGTAGTTAGTTATTTAAAAAGCTTTTCAAAAGGTGTACACAGAATATTAGCTAAGAAAATAACATCAGGAGGGATTAGTGGAAAGAGAAGTTAATTGGATTTTAGGGTTGTTGGATGAAAGGAAAGCAAAAGGTTTTATTAATGGAGTACAACCATACTGGTCTTTGTTAGATTATTGATTTTTTTAATGCACAGCTACACAGTGGTCTATCTGCACTTTTTCCACTGCAGATATTCTAATCCTGGATTTTAACATTGTAAATCTGGAAACTTACTGCTGACTTACTAGGGTATATACCCTTTTTATTAGTGGAGTGTCGTAGGGGTCAATTCTTAGTCCTTTACATTTTCTTACTTACATTAATGATATTGATAGGGGTATAAAATTATAGTATATTTAAGACATTGAGACAGTATTCTGTTGCTGATAGTAAAGCTAATAGAATTTTATGGTGTACTTATATACACATAATGAATATAAGTTAAAAGAGGTAATTATCTCCATACATGTCAAAGTTAAGACTCACTGAAATACTTTGTATAGTTGTGGTCTCCTTATCTAAAAGAGGATTCTAATTTTTTGGAAAAAGTGGTTGTGGTGACACTGACTGTTGATACTTTGCTTGGAGAACATTAGATTGTTCTAACTTAGTTAAAAATTGTTATCACATGAATGTAGTTTTTCTATCACAATAGTATCTATCCTATAGGTTGAAAGATAAAACTGTTTTATGCTCTTTCCTATATTTTGTTATATTTCAAAGGGTTGTTTTACAAAGGGATGAGATTTTACTGCCATTTGGGAGATTTCCATCATTTCTGTTGTCAAACTGGCCATCTACCTAAGTTATTTAGATCTTGGAGATGGGATGATGCTGGGACTAGAGATCAAATACTATTTTATAAAAATTGAGCTAAGCATTTTGTTGAAAACAAGTCTCATCAGATTCTTAGCTTACTGGAGCTAAGAGTTTGTGTTCCTCAAACATATTGTAGATACCACAGTTGTTCTCAATAAGCATTGTACTATTTCAAACATATCTGTACAGGTTATTTTTGTTATTATATTTAGTATTTTTCCCTCCAGCCTAGTACCAAAGTTCAACATATATTAGACATATGGGCTAGTGGTGAGGGAGTTATCTCCCTTCACTGCTTTCAGAATGTAATCCCAGTAGAGGCCTATACAAGGGAAGCTTGTATGGTTGAAGCACTTGGTAAGTAGCAGATTTTATGTATCTAACAGTTCAAAGCTATTGAATGTATTGTGGATATACTCTCTTAGTTAATCTCTCCACCTCACACACCTGTTATATGGTGAAACATTTTTTTAATAGTAAAATAGTTTAGTAAAAACCTTTCAGTATTTTTCTACACATGAACATAAGTTAAGTTTGTAATTATTCAATGTTTGCATTTCTTTGTTTCGAGAAGTAGATATTTATGTTTTATATTGGTATAGAATACTTTTATCTACTTACTGCTGAATGTTATTCACGTATATATACAGGCATTGAAATATTTAAAGTTACTATTTAAAGAGGTGCTGTGAAGCTTCTTGAAAGTATTTATTGTTATAGAAGCAAATATAATAGTCTTCTGGGGGAGTTGGGGGGCTGATAAGTGCAAAAAATAATTAAGCAGTGAAATTCAGTTGGCTTAATGCAATCTTTCCAGGTTCTATTATTATTACTGAAATGTTTGCATAAAAGCAAAATACTCGTGTGAATGTTTATATTGTTAATTTTCCTTACAGTATAAACAACTTCAATTTTTAAGTCTATAAATACTTTTAGAAATAAATATCTTAAACTATGATTATCAAAATAATTTTAAAGCATTTAAAATCATACAGCATATGTTAGGTCTAGTCTACAAAATGTGTACTTCCATTATCTTGGTACTTTGAATTTGTTCATACAAATACAATCAGCTTGCTTTGCATTTTAAAAAATAGTCTTTAACTTAATATTTGTTTTATTCAAAGTGTATTGTAATATTTTATCAGGTGTTTTATATAAGCATTCTTCAAAGTTCTCAATCAGTTTGTAAAATGTTACCAATTGCTTATATTGTTAAAGCAAAAGTTTAATTATCTTGTGGTTTTTACTTTCTTAGGCTTAACAAACTGCTACATGTTAGTGCAGAATTAATGCTCTAAAAATACATTTATTCTAAATACAAAACAAATTTGAGCTTTGTCTTGGATATGTGAATCTAAGTTAATGTAAATTTAGTGATACCTTGGCAATATTTCAGGATTTACGTTTTTTACACTAGCATAGTAATTGTTAGTATATTATAAATTCTGGTAGTGTACATTCAAGTTTTAAATTCATTACAGGACTCTCAAATCTTACGAACATTAAACGAGGTGACTTTTATGGAGTAGCAGCAACTTTTAATGACAAGAAGAAGCGTCAGCTTGGAGCTTTCTTTCTCTTTCGATCTTTGCACATATTTCTAAATGAAGGAGAACGTCAGTTAAAGCCTTTTGATATCAGATAAGAAAAAAATTATTTTCATTGTTAATATTATGTAGGAATGAATTATACGTACTATATATTTAAATATACACGTATATGTATTATATATATTATGAATTTATGAAATAAGGGCAAATACTACAAGAAAATTTTTTATCTTTTTTTCTGTAAAGGGTAGCCCAATAAAAACTAAACTGATTTACTTGTAATTAGCAGAGTTTCTTTATTTCTGAATTTTTCATAAGATTATTTGTTGATTGTTTTGTCGTTGGGTCCATGTGAAATCTTTCAATAAATATTTCAAATGTCTATGCTACATTGTTTGTTATTCTATCCATGTGCATAACATCTGAAATAAGACTCCATCAGAAAAATCCTTTTTGCAGTGCTATGTGGCATAATTCACATTATTCTGTGTAATGCCTGAAAAGAAAAGTAAGGATTGTGTGTATATATATATCTATGTTATGCAGAAACAAACATGTATTACTTAAAAATGGATAGATGTGTTTTGTTTTAGTCTAGTTTTGATTGGGCCATCCTGTTTATTGTAACCCTTGAAATAAATGGGATATATTGTTTGTTACCCTGTCTTGGTCAGCCATCGAATATAACTCTGTAATGGTGTAAGTCAAGTCTGAACATGTGTTCTTTGTCTTGGGGTTATTTTTTATTTTAATTTTGCAAAAAAATATCTCCAATGTTGAACATACAGTAAAATCCACTTTTGTATGATTTGTTTTATTCACTTATATTTTTGCATTGATCTATAGTAGACTAAACCATGAACAATTAAGGGATGCTATGAATATGCTAACCTGCATTGATAATTTCATTGCACGATATACTAATATGAAAGTGTGATATATATTAAATCATTTTACATACAGGGCATTTCAAAATTATGAGTGCATTTCAAAAAACAGAGATCTCAGGGTTGGATTAATATATTGGATGAAACACTGTTTATATACTTTAAGGTTTAACATTATTCCATAAGCTGTGACACTAGTACACCCACTTATTATAGTTTTTAAATTACTGCATATTAGTATATAGGATTAGAATAATTTCCCACTCTGGATGAAACAAGAGACAATGTGCACTAGTACTATGGGTTATTATGATGCTCCTGCTCTGGTCTCTGGGTAACCATGAACTGCATGTACAGACTTAAATTGTCTACTAGTATAAAGAAGAATTACATTAGTGCTGTTATTTTTGCTTGTTGATTAGTGTGCTAGGATGCCAACTGTGTACTAGTACATAATTACTTTGGTAGCCTCACAATAAGTTCTTAATGTCTGTGTATTAGTTCAGTGATATAAGCACATCAGCTAAATAACAGGAAACAACTTGTGAAAATTGTTTAATATTGCTCCTTTATGTGGTTTACATGGCAGGATAGAAAAGTGAAATAGTTTTTGTCATTATACTAGCCTTTTACCTGTAATCAACCTGGTTGCATACAGAGGACAATCGAAGTTTGTATTAGGTTAAACCCTTGATTACCAACTTGTTTTCATACAGTTCATTATAATTGGAGTTCATATTTTGAGTAATTTTATGTTCTTGCCTGTTACAACACCATATTTAAAGAAAAGAACTGACACAATAAAGTGTAAATAATATTTTTTTTATATAAAATACATAGGGAACCACAGCAGTAATTAAAGGTTTTGAGATGGCTTGAATGGGTAATGAAAAACCATATTATGAATGTACAACATTTCAACAAGATTCTGTCCTCCTCAGGTACATTTTGTTTACAGAGATAAATGAGAAAATATACAGTATAGAACAAAGAGTTCACATGACCAGTCTAATATAGGTATCTTGGTACCTTGGGGTGTTGATTTAGGGTGGGGCTGTTTTCTTTGATTAAGATAGCTTCTTTTATTTTGAGTGTATTGATGTTAGGTTCTTTGTTTAAAATTACAGTGTTTGGTTTTTGAGTTATGATGGTGGTAAACATATGAGGGTTTTCTATTATGTTCAGTGAATCTGGTTTCACATTTTCTACCTGTTTCTCCGATGTGAAATTCTGGACAGTTATTGCATGTTATTTTATAAATGACGTTGGAATTGTGTGATTCTGTGTAATTTTTATTTAATAATGATTTTACTTTAGTGCTGGGCTTTTGGGTGAATTTGACATCAACAGGAATTTTTATGTTTAATGGCAAGTTTTCTCCAAGCGTTGATTATTTTTGAGCTGATGTCAGGAATAAATGGTGAACTGCAGTGTAATGTTCTGCTGTTGTTTGGTGTATTAGTGTCAATTTTGTTTGTGAGTTGAGTTTTGAGGTTTTTGTTCTGGTGGTTGTGTGGAAATGTTTCGACAATGGTTAGTGGAAATTTGTTGTTAACGAAGGAATGCTTTATAGAGTTGATTTCTTCATCTATGTACTCAGCTGTGTGTATAGTATTTTTAATACATTAATTTTTGTTTGGATTCATGTGCAGAATTCCAGGGGATGCAGAGGCCTGTGTGATTATATTTTCAGTGAATTTTGGTTTTGAAACGTGTGTCAGATCTGATAATGTTGAGATTAAGAAAAGACAACGGTTTGTTATTTTCATGTTCAATGGTGAATTTAATGTTAGGGTTAATAGAGTTTATAAAACGAATTCTCTAGTGAAACCATTAATGTAGTTAACCAGACCTATAAACTGAGGACCAATGTCACAAACAACGAAATAAATTGCATCTACAATCTGAAAAAAGATACCAACATTAAGATTTTAAAAGCTGACAAAGGCATCACTATTGTAATCATGAACAACACAGAATGCATTGACAAAATGAACATCCTTTCAGATTATAAGAAATTTAAACCCATCTCAAACAACCCAATAAACACATGAAAAACAACTAAACAAAACCACGTTACACATGAAGAAAGGTAACTTGATTACTGAAGATCTTTATTTTTATCTAAATAAAACTGACTTGCACACACACCACAACTCTATGGCATTCCCAAACCACACAAACAGGACTGCCCCGTATTAGCACTTATGACTCATTTAACTATAATCTTAGTAAATACATAGCCTGGGCCCTCACACCGTACATAACTTCTGCAAGTTTCTTTTTTAAAGATGTCTTTAACTTTAGAAACACATTAAACCAACTAAACCCCAAAGCCTTAATGGCCAGCTTTGACATTGTATCACTTTTCACTGAAGTTCCCATCAAAGAAGTCTGTAATTTTGCACTTGATTTCTACAATTATGATCCCAATCCTTTGATTCATATCTCGAACACAATTTTGTTTCCCTTATATAATTCACAACAACAAAAACCAACTTCATTTTCAACAACCATAACTTTCTTCAAACAGATGGTTTAAGAATGGGTATCTCTGTTTGACCTGTTCTTGCCAACATATTTATAATACGTATCGAAACACAAGCAATACAATCCACACTTTATCCTCCCTTATACTGACACGGATATGTCGACGACACTTTTACCGGTTTCACTTCTATAGAACACATAAATTCTATTCACCCTAACATTAAATTCACCATTTAACACGAAAATTACAAACAGTTGTCTTTTCTTAACCTCAACATTATCAGGTATGACACACAGATCTGAGTGGTTACTGTGAGGTAATATTTTTTGCAAGCTTGAGGATTCTGTTTTTGAGTTGAGGTACTACATTTAGGGAATCAAGGTAACTAGATGGTGTATATTTAAGTAAGTGGAAAGCTGATCAATGTATTGAAGAGCCATAAGGTTTTTAAAGAAGTTGTCAGACATGTTACCATACTCGATTTGTGGTCTAATGAAGGCTTTATAGATAGTAATGATGGTGTTAGTGCACATCCTTTTGGATGCCCCCAGTCTTCTTTAACCCTTTCAGAATGGGCAGACATGATAACTATCCACTTGACTAGGGAAGCACATTTATCCAACAAAAATATGGTAATTCTGTGTATTCCTCACAGAAACTGGTAAGATTTTATTAAAGTTTACAAGTATCTTGTACACAAGAATGACATTATTTTAATTACTTCTTTCTAATACATGTATATATATATTTTTTTTTTGATAAAAGAGTTAGCACAATGGATCGCATATAAAGTGTAATAGACTTAAAATAAGACCCAAAACTCTTTTTAGCACTTTTGAATAGTTGACTATTCTTCTTCAGGAGAACAAAGGGTGACCTTTGTTGTTGTTCTTGGCAGTTATTTTGATTT